TATTCCCCCTTTCCTCTTTATATAATTGGTCATTTTGCCAGCTAATTAATGGTTCTTTGTTGCCAGCTTTTTTGATTAAGCTTTGTAGTCATTTGTTGTTACTGAGAGAATCTGTCTTTGTTACTTATTAAACCTTTTGTATCTTAGTGGCTTATGAGATAATATCGGCTTTTGAAGCTTGTTTACAATCTCAGCAAGCATTTCTTACCACTCACAATCGATTGTGCCCATATTCTTATCAAATTATAATGCATGAAAAATTAAAATCTTTCATTGCCTGCAAGAAAGGACTGAAAAGACCTATTCAGCCATAGCAGGCCGAACAGAAACAATTCATTATTAGTAACGGATAGCATTTATACAAAGGCATTTCTCCTTACAATTTGGTGTACATTTTGTCTTTACATGGAGCAGTCTATACAGCTTTACAAATGATTCAAGCTACTATTTGGAAAGAACCAAAAGGAGACTGAAGGAACCAAAGAAAAGAAAAATGCACATCATCATCACTCCATTAAAAGAACTTGTACAGATGGACTTTGCAATAAACACACATGGGATACTCAGAGACGATGCTTCTGTTCCTAAACATTGTTACCAGCATAACAATTTTCCAACTCTAGCATGTTTGCCCTCATAAAATGGAACATGAGCATACAATCTTTCTGGGTGAATCATCAATCTTCTTTTCTGTTGAGATAGAAAACCAAGCATAAGACTATAAGTCGATATATGAAATTTTAAGAAACTGCAAAACAACCCAGTCAATGTTATTTAGAAGGTTAACAATTAGCTAAAGTTCTAGTGAATACTATAAGAAAAGGTACAATATTATTATTGTATAGTGTCAGAGAGAATTGACCTTCAAGACAAAAAGCAATCCGATGGTAACTAATGGCTTCTGGAGTTTTGTGGAATTTATTAGAGTGAATAGTAGAAAGACACAAAAATGGCTAGGAGGATCTGTTAGTAATGAATAAAAGAAAAGGAAAAGATCGCCTCTGGTAGGTTGCGCATAACTCACACAGCATGCTCAATAATGAAGTTTAAACAACAGTTCTCATTTCCACATATTCCTCCCAACACACACACATGCGCGCAAAAGGAATTCGTTTTTAAAATAATTAAGCAAATAATGAAAATCCTCCATTTGCGGATTACAGATCATACCCATCAGAAAGACAACATTAGATGCCTATCCAAACACTGGTTACCACTTATAAGCAATTCCAAGTAGTGGGCTTAGCTACTAATACTACAAGTGCAGATCCATGTCAAACAGCTGACATCCTGATGTCCACTTTACTGAGCAAGCTAAGATTACATGCCAAGAAGGAAGTGCTATGGAACAACATAAGTCTACAACAAGAATCTTAAGACAAAGATAGAGAATACCTGTTTTAGTTTTTACAAGAGATGGCTGTACTACAACATGCATTATGATAACCCCACCTGCAACTTCACCAAAGGGTACTTTACACTGACCAACAGTCTTGCTGTTCTCCAACATTTTACCAGAGCTTATCAGTTTGACTTCATTCACTGCCTTTGGGATAATTGCCTTACCTAAGGAAGGGCAGAAAGAGCATTGAAGAAAATTAAAACAAAATGCTCAAAACTATTAGCCTTTATGCTACCTTCTGGGTCTATAAATGAAAAAAAAAAAAATGCTGAAGATTGTTGATAGATGTAGGCAACAAGACAATGGAGTAATAGTTGATGCATTCTTTAAGGATTTTAGATGATATTTCAAACAAAATCATCATCATCGTTCTCTCTGCAATTTATTTATTAAAAAAAAGTCACGATGAGAATTATCGATGCATCATTTCAATAGTAATCTATTCACAACAATAGCATGTATTTTACACAGCCATACTAGCTTTCTCTCCCAATATACATTCATAAGGACATCTTGCAATTCTTGTCAATTATTTTCATATTGATACCAAACGCATTTAACAATGAAGGTAGAACAACATAGAAAGATGATCTCCTATCATTCGTAGGCCATCCATAGCTATTTTAAGAAGCTAAAGACATCATTTTGTAGCAAAAGGTCAGAACCAAAGTTCCTAAAATCATACTACTCCAAAAATACTGTATTATCTTGTGTTGTGGTACAGAGTAATCATTTCTTTTGCATTCCATGGCTAACCCTATAGCTTTCTTCATTTCTCTTAACAATAAAATTAGGTTCAAACTCCAAACTGGATCACCCCCACTATTACCATATAGCAAAACATTTCTTCCACATTGAAGAGGGATTTGTCCATAAATCTTCGGAAAGAAAAAACAGCATATAAATTTCAATTACTAAACAAAACCAACAGCTAAAACTTCGTAAGCAATTTGAAAAGAAATGAAACAACTAAAAAGAGGAATAGCTGAAATAAACCTTTGGGCCAATCAGAGACGATTCTTTGCTTTAGCATATCCACCGTGGATGTGGCCGTACCGAAACGGCCCGATATCCGACCCGTCATAAAGCCTGAACTTTATATCCACCAAATCCTCCTCCGGCATTTCCGACCCACAACCGACCTGCTTCCACGTGTTCAATTATCTACAAACCGATTCACCACCTTCGGCTCATCAAATCAAATCCCGCCGCCTGAATTTCCACAAGTTAAAACTAAACTGAAAATTCAAGTAAGATCAAATTTAAATACGGCCCAAAAATAAAAAAAAGAAACTTGAGGGAATAAAAACAGAGGATCAAAATTCAACCTGAATTTTTGTGTAGTAGTTGGTTAATTGAAGCTCCCTCTTGAATTTTTATTTATTTTTAATACTTTTCTATGGCTGTTTTTAAAAGATTGGAGTTTGGTGAACTGAAGAAGACAATATAGTCTTTTACATCTCCTAAAAGCCCCAACCGCTCCACCAAACGAGGTCGTTTGGGTCGTGGTTCGTTGCGAAAGCGGTAGCCACGTCTTTGTCTTTACTCTTCTAGTACGCCGTCGTTTAGGTCTAGTTCCCCCTGACTCTTCGTTTTTGTCTACTTTTCGAGCGTGGAATAATTCAAAAATAATCCCAGCCGAAGAACGGAAAAAAAGCCATGAAAGTAGGAGAGGAAAAGGAGAAGAAGAAGAAGAAAAAGAGGAAGAGAAAAACAAAAAGATGATACAGATTGTTTGGCAAACTCCAGCTCATCCTGCTCATGAAGACGATTATATTTTTCACAACGGTAAATTTAATTTTCAAAAAAAAAGAAAAAAAAAGAAAGCAATTGATGTTAATAAGTAACCAAACAGAAGCTCAATCTTTTGACATGAATTTTGCAGGGAAGCGCCAAGTAAGACCGTACTACTTCGAGTGCGTATCTCATGTTAGTTTCTTTCTCTTTTATTTTTCTGATTTCTGTTGTTAACAAATCTTTTAACCCTAATTGTGCTTGTTTTTTCAGAAAGTACGGTTTTTTATGGTTGAGTTTGCGCAGGTTAATAAGCGATGGGAGGGAAAAACAATCGTGGATTTGTTCACTCAAGAATTTAGAGGGCGACCTAATGATTACTATGTATTTTCATTACTCTTTCCTTTTCCTTTTTGTTTTTGAGCTTAAACCTTAATGATATCATAGCCTCAATATTTGTTGGTTAATTTGTATTAATTGATAGTAGGTGATTGAAATGTGTTACAAGTTCAGCAAACTCCTTTATTGGGGTTTTCTCGTAGTCGCTTCCTTTACCTGTATCTATCTTTGCATATGTTTGAATATTCACCTTTTCAGTTATTTTGAGTGTTGTAGGTTAGTGCTGTCAAATGTGGACGTATACAAGTTGACGGAGAGAATATACCTGTTTCATGCATAGTTGATCGATGTCAGAAGATAAGCCACTTTGTACACAGGTTCATCACATTCACATTCAATGTTTCTCCATGGATTTCACTAAATCTCTAGGATAGCCTTTTTTTTTTTGGAATAATTTTTCACTTTTTTACATTTAACGAGCAATAATTCTTTTTTGGTTCACACATGCACTGATTGGAAAATCTTTTAATTTTTCAAATTTTAGTTTGACTTTTCTATAGTTTTTCGTTTGCTCTGTTTAAATTAGGTTCTTTTCTTTGCTTTATGATTTGTTTTGAAGTTATAAAACTTGTAATTGATGCAGCAAAGGTTGTAGGCATGAACCACCAGTGGGCTTGGGATGTTGCAATTCTTCAAGATGAACCTGATGTACTGACGGTTTGCAACCAGCATCTGTCCCTGAACGTCTTTGGAGAAGCGTATTTCTTTTGACATTATGAGTGTGTATGGTTGTCGGGGGTGTTTCAATAATATGCTTATTCATTGGATGATGAGAGTAGGAACCTTTCTCCACTCTACAATGTGTTGTCTGTAACACTGTGTCCTTTCTTTTTTGTGGCTTGTGGTGGAGTCTAATTCATTTCCTAGTGTTTTGTAGGTACATCCATTTGGTCAACATCGTAACAACACAGTTTTGGGCATTCTCCAAGCAGAGCATGGGTTGGCTTCTTTGTATCGTATCCAAACCTAGCTCCTAACGGAGCAAATATTTAACTGTTAATGAAGGCTACTTTCGTACTTTCCGTATGCAAATTAAATCTGTTTTCAGTTTTCTTTCTGGTAAAGTTCTAAAAGCAGGGTTTTCTGCTTTTCCCTTGACATAATCATGTTAGCCATTCATCGACTGGATCGTCTGGTCTCGGGGATGCTTGTCGTGGCCAAAAATCCAGCTAAAGCTGACATTTTTAGGCAACATGTAAGTCTTCCTTGATCTTTTCTTGTTTTTTGTTTTTTGAGTGAAAGAGAAGTAAAAGTAGAACAAATTTTTGGCAGTTTTGCTTAAAACTGTAACTTGGTGTTATAACTATGTTGGTAACAAGAAATACAGGACTGGCATAATTTTCCATTAGATATGCCTACCTGAAATCTTTTTAGCAGCATGGCTATATGTTGTTGCTGTATTCCATAATTTGGTAGAATGATATCTACGGACACCAGCTGTTCTATCTATCAAGGACAAAATTGCTCTGTTTTATCAATTATCAGTATGCTTGATATGGAATTTTAAGACTCTTTACCTACCAAATCAGTATGATTCTGTGCATATTTTTGTTTTTGTAAACTGAACTTTTTTTCATTTGAATCTGAATGTGATGGCTGCAGATTGAAGCTGGACTGGTGCAGAAACAGTGTGTTGCAAAGGTCATTGGAGTATTTCCTGAGGGTGAGGTATATAATATTGTTTAAGCTAGACGATTCATGTAATTTGTATTCAAATTTGATTCAGTGCATAGATGATCAGATAGTTAAGTCCTTAGGGGTTTTTGATCTTTTGATTACATTAGAATATCTGCCAATCTGTTGGCTGACCTTTTTTATGTCATGTTTTTTCCGTAAGGAAAAGTGACAAGGAGTAGCTTTTAATATACATATTTGTATTATGACAATATAGTTTTATACTGATCTTCTTTTCAGACTTAGATCGTCATCTATGGAATTTCATGACACGTTTAGTTCATGGAATACAATAAAGACAATAAAATAATTTTTCCAAGAAAATAAAATAAAATGAAAATAACTATTATGTTATTTAACTAGTAGAATAAAATTGTCTTAATTTTTGATTAACTAAAATAGCTTTGACATAATAAACAAATTGGTTATAGAAAAACAAAATTACTATTGATTATAATATATTATTTTTAATTTGAAATATTTATTTTTTTAATAATTTATAATTAAAACTTTAGTTTTTTTTCATTTTATAATAAAATATTAGTAATTTATAATTTTTTAAAATATAATTTTTAATTTTAATTTTAATTTCATTTTTATTTTTTCATCCTTTTTTTCTTTTCTTTACTCTTTTGTTGCTTAGGACGTAGAGATATGGCTGGCGCTCCATTGTACCGATCTGGCGCTCCCCATAGCCATAGCCGCCATCCTCCGGTGGAGGAAGATTTTAGAGAGTAGAGTGAGGCGGATGAGGGAAATAGAAAAAAAAAAGTTTTTATATGTTAGGGTTAGGTTTTATTATATATAGAATAGTTAAGGACATTTTTGTTCAAAAACTTTTGGTCTATCCTTAGTCACGCGGGATAGCTATTGCTGGGGGGTCGGTATAGCTATTCCGGCTTCTCCCAGAATGGCCATTCCGGGAACCAAACTCATGCATGCGAGGTGGGGACGATACCCCAGCCAAAAATGCAGTCAGTATCATCACTCCATTAAAAGAACTTGTACAGATGGACTTTGCAACAAACACACAAGGGATACCCAGAGACGATGTTCCTGCTCCTAAACATTGTTACCAGCATAACAATTTTCCAACTCTTAACATGTTTGCCTTCATAAAATGGAACATGAGCATACAATCTTTCTGGGTGAATCATCAATCTTCTTTTCTGTTCAGATAGAAAACCAAGCATAAGACTATAAGCTGATATATGAAATTTTAAGAAACTACAAAACAACCCAGTCAATGTTATTTAGATGGTTAACACTTAGCTAAAGTTAAGAAAAGGTACCCTATTCTTATTGTACAGAGTCAGAGACAATAGACCTTCAAGACAAAATGCAATCTGATGGTACCTAATGGCTTCTGGAGTTTTGTGGAATTTATCAGTGTGACTTGTAGAAAGATACAAAAATGGCTAGGAGGATCTCTTGGTAATGAATAAAGGAAAAGGAAAAGGAAAAGATGGCCTCTGGTAGGTTGCACATAACTCATGCATCATGCTCAATAATGAAGTCTAAACAACAGTCCTCACTTCCACATATTCCTCCTAACACACACACATATGCCCGCAAAAGGAATTAGTTTTTAAAATAATTAAGCAAATAATGAAACTCCTCCATCTGCGGAATAAACATCATACCCATCAGAAAGACAACATTAGATGCCCATCCAAACACTGATTACCACTTATAAGCAATTCCAAGTAGTGGGCTTATCTAATAACACTATAAGTGCAGATCCATGTCAAACAGCTGACATCCTGATGTCCACTTTACTGAGCAAGCTAAGCTTATATGTCAAGGAGGAAGTGATATTGGAACAACACAAGTCTATGATAAGAATCTTAAGACAAAGATAGAGAATACCTGTTTTAGTTTTTGAGAGAGATGGCTGTACTACAACATGCATTATGATAACCCCACCTCCAACTTCACCAAAGGGTACTTTACACTGACCAACAGTCTTGCTGTTCTCCAAAATTTTACCAGAGCTTATCAGTTTGACTTCATTCACTGCCTTTGGGATAATTGTCTTACCTAAGGAAGAGCAGAAAGAGCTTTGAAGAAAATTAAAACAAAATACTCGAAACTATTAGCCTTTATGCTACCTTCTGGGTCTATAAGTGAAAAAAAAAATGCTGAAGATTGTTGATAGATGTAGGCAACAAGACAATGGAGTAATAGTTGATGCATTCTTTAAGGATTTTAGATGATATTTCAAACAAAATCATCATCATCATCAATCTCTCTGCAATCTATTTATTAGTAAAAAAAAAAATGATGAAATTCTTATCAATGATCATTCACAACAATAACATGTATTTTACACAGCCATACTAGCCTTCTCTCCGAATATACATTCATAAGAACATCTTGCAATTCTTATAAATCATTTTCACATTGATACCAAGCGCATTTAACAATGAAGGTAGAACAACGTACAAAGATGATCTCCTTTCTTTCTTAGGCCATCCATAGCTATTTTATGAAGCTAAAGACATCATTTTGTAGCAAAAGGTCAGAACCAAAGTTCCTAAAATCATACTATTCCAAAAAACTATATTATCTTGTGTTGTGCTACAGAGTATTCATTTCTTTTGCATTCCATGACTAACCCTATAGCTTTCTTCATTTCTCTTAACAATAAAATTAGGTTCCAACCCCAAACTGGATCACTCCTACTATTACCATACAGCAAAACATTTCTTCCACATTTAAGAGGGATTTGTTCATAAATCTTTGGAAAGAAAAAACAGCATATAAATTTCAATTACTAAACAAAACCCAACAGCTAAAACTTCGTAAGCAATTTGAAAAGAAATGAAACAACTAAAAAGAGGAATAGCTGAAATAAACCTTTGGGCCAATCAGAGACGATTCTTTGCTTTAGCATATCCACCGTGGATGTGGCCGAGTACCGAAACGGCCCGATATCCGACCCGTCATAAAGCCTGAACTTTATATCCACCAAATCCTCCTCCGGCATTTCCGACCCACAACCGACCTGCTTCCACGTGTTCAATTATTCTACAAACCGATTCACCACCTTCGGCTCATCAAATCAAATCCCGCCGCCTGAATTTCCACAAGTTAAAACTAAACTGAAAATTCAAGTAAGATCAAATTTAAATACGGCCCAAAAATAAAAAAAAGAAACTTGAGGGAATAAAAACAGAGGATCAAAATTCAACCTGAATTTTTGTGTAGTAGTTGGTTAATATGAAGCTCCCTCTTGAAGATTTTTATTTATTTTTTAATACTTTTTCTATGGCTGTTTTTAAAAGATTGGAGTTTGGTGAACTGAAGAAGACAAATAAGTCTTTTAACATCTCCTAAAAGCCCCAACCGCTCCACCAAACGAGGTCGTTTGGGTCGTGGTTCGTTGCGAAAGCGGTAGCCACGTCTTTGTCTTTACTCTTCTAGTACGCCGTCGTTTAGGTCTAGTTCCCCCGACTCTTCGTTTTTGTCTACTTTTCGAGCGTGGAATAATTCAAAAATAATCCCAGCCGAAGAACGGAAAGAAAGCCATGAAAGTAGGAGAGGAAAAGGAGAAGAAGAAGAAGAAAAAGAGGAAGAGAAAAACAAAAAGAAGATACAGATTGTTTGGCAAACTCCAGCTCATCCTGCTCATGAAGACGATTATATTTTTCACAACGGTAAATTTAATTTTCAAAAAAAAAAGAAAAAAAAAGAAAGCAATTGATGTTAATAAGTAAACCAAACAGAAGCTCAATCTTTTGACATGAATTTTGCAGGGAAGCGCCAAGTAAGACCGTACTACTTCGAGTGCGTATCTCATGTTAGTTTCTTTCTCTTTTATTTTTCTGATTCTGTTGTTAACAAATCTTTTAAACCCTAATTGTGCTTGTTTTTTCAGAAAGTACGGTTTTTTATGGTTGAGTTTGCGCAGGTTAATGAGCGATGGGAGGGAAAAACAATCGTGGATTTGTTCACTCAAGAATTTAGAGGGCGACCTAATGATTACTATGTAATTTTCATTACTCTTTCCTTTTCCTTTTTGTTTTTGAGCTTAAATCCTTAATGATATCATAGCCTCAATATTTGTTGGTTAATTTGTATTAATTGATGAGTAGGTGATTGAAATGTGTTACAAGTTTCAAGCAAACTCCTTTATTGGGGTTTTCTCGTAGTCGCTTCCTTTACCTGTATCTATCTTTGCATATGTTTGAATATTCACCTTTTCAGTTATTTTGGAGTGTTGTAGGTTAGTGCTGTCAAATGTGGACGTATACAAGTTGACGGAGAGAATATACCTGTTTCATGCATAGTTGATCGATGTCAGAAGATAAGCCACTTTGTACACAGGTTCATCACATTCACATTCAATGTTTCTCCCATGGAATTTCACTAAATCTCTAGGATAGCCTTTTTTTTTTTGGGAATAATTTTTCACTTTTTTACATTTAACGAGCAATAATTCTTTTTTGGTTCACACATGCACTGATTGGAAAATCTTTTAATTTTTCAAATTTTAGTTTGACTTTTCTATAGTTTTTCGTTTGCTCTGTTTAAATTAGGTTCTTTTCTTTGCTTTATGATTTTGTTTTGAAGTTATAAAACTTGTAATTGATGCAGCAAAGGTTGTAGGCATGAACCACCAGTGATGGCTTGGGATGTTGCAATTCTTCAAGATGAACCTGATGTACTGACGGTTTGCAAACCAGCATCTGTCCCTGAACGTCTTTGGAGAAGCGTATTTCTTTTGACATTATGAGTATGTATGGTTGTCGGGGGTGTTTCAATAATATGCTTATTCATTGGATGATGAGAGTAGGAACCTTTCTCCACT